CTTCCCGCCTGACACAGCCCTCGGATCACAATGTTGAATGTGCAAGTATCAAAACAATAACTCTGAGACCTCAAAATATAATCTGTGAAGAAACTAACAGCTTCATCAACCCTGTTTTTCTTCATCAACAAACTCACAAACTTATTGAGCAGGAAATGGCTAAAATTTCCACATCTCCCATTGCTTATTACATGAGATTCAGAAATCAAAATTTCCTTGGCAACCTCAAAGTTGCCTGCATTTGCAAGTGTCAATACTACAAACTCTACAACCGACCTATCTGACAAATACCCATCTGCTCTCATATAATCAACCAATAATCTAACCGAATCATGAAGACCTAATTCGCAGTGAGACATCAGCAGCACTTGGAAGCTGGAAACTGAATGAACAAGACTCAGATTGAGTCTCGCGAATTGGAAGAAGCTAAACGCCAACCTCGTGTTATTCAATTGACCACTAATGTGTTCGATCACGGCGAAAGCAATCATCGGATTAAGATTCTCCCGGAAATAATCGCACCCAAAAACATCCAGACGCGACTGATTGCGAGCGCAGAGTATGCAAATTGCTTTGGTGAACCAAACCGTCTCAGCTCCTGCGATGGCGACATGAGAAGGATGGCGAGATTCGCTGTGAGCAGGACCGCAAAAGCTGCGAGAAATGTGGGCAATCTTCTGCGCCCGGTGTACCTGCAATCGCATTATTCCCGAATCCCGCTCTTCTGAATCGAACCTGGAGGTATAAAATAACCACCTTCGTTATTCCATTCTTGATTCGATGTTGTTCTTGGTAGTGTTGTAAATGGAAGAACTCGAGATGGACGGCAATGGAGTAGGGGTGGGTTCTGTTTTTGGGGTTCTGTTTTCACCCAAAACCAAAGGACAAAGGACAAAAGGGAAAAATTGGCGGTTCGTTTCGGTTCGATTTTGCATAAAAAATATGTAAACCGTTGGTTATTCGGTTCGGTTTTATACGGTTTTTATTTCGGGTTTTTTCGGTTTTTTCGGTTTATAAAAGTAGAAATTTATAAGCATTAAAAATTGTAAAAACACTAACTCGACGGAGCAATAACAATATGTTGTGTTAGGTTTGGTTATTTGGTTTGAGTGTTACACAAAAACAAAAATCAAACGGAAGGTTATTGTATTATTCAGTTCAATTTTACATAAAAAAATATGTGTTTAGTACCCAACAAACATTTAGGAGATTCCAAATACTTCCAAAGACATCGTATGTAAAATTAATTACGAAGAATATGTGTTTTTTAGTATAATATTTTCATTTTCATTATAACATCAAAGTATTTTTTTATGTAAATATGTAAATTACTCGTATCAATATTTAATGTTAATATAATTCTATATTTGGATTAGCTATTGGTGTTTATATTCATAGATTTTTTAAAAGTTTATAATAGTATGGCTAAAATGTTTAATTAATAGTTAAGAAAATAATTTTAATCGACTAGTAATTTATTTGCATTTATATTTCTATGATTTTTCTACATATCACATATATTTATATAAAAAAAGTGAAGTATCTAAGAAAGTTTGGTTTATTCGGTTCGGTTTTTCAAAATGAAAACCAAAACGGAACCAAACACTAACGGTTCGGTTCGGTTTTTTTACATTCGGTTTCGGTTTCTTCGGTTCGGTTTTTTTTCTAGCTCGTTTCGATCGGTTTCGGTTCGGTTTGCGGTTTTCAGTTTTCCCAACCCAGCCCTACAATGGAGGACAAGAGCGAGTTTTTCGGCTTCGCCGGCTGCTAGGGCTGGCGGCCAATTTTGCCCCGTCAACACTGCGAACTTTTTGACTGACGGAGTAAATTGATGTTAAATGAAATCTGTTTAACTCACAGTAATTTTTTGAAGAATATACAACTGTGATTGTACCCCCAAAAAAAAGAAGACTCCATAATACACTTCGGGATACTTATTTTATTGTTTGAGTAACTAAATATTTATTTTTCTAAATTTTAGTTATACTTGTAAATGAGTTTTTAGTAATCTGAAAATGAGTATTATATTGTTTGAAAATGAATCTTCAATTGCACGACAATGAATATTTAAGCGCATGCACGCGAAACATCCTATATTTAGATGTATGGTATAGATACTCAAGTATGTTAATTACTTTGTCTCATATCCCCCGTTAAGATGATGAGATAAAATTTTAAAATGATTGTTTTTATAAATTGGCATGAAAATTATTATATATATATATATTTTAAAACTAGATTAAAATATTTACTAAACAAAAAATAATAAAAATAGTTCATTTTACCAAATGATCAAAAAAACATATAAAAATAATAACAAAGAGATAAATCATTTTAGGACAGATGAAGTAATTTTTTTCAAATATAATGAGAGATGTTAATTTATACTCGGGTATTCTATTTTTATAGCAATATTCTAATACAATAAATTGATTTTTTTTGTTTTGTTTTGACTTCTATGCAGTCTGTTTAAAACATTTTTAGTGATTTTATCATTTCCCCCTCTAATGGGTGTATTCCACCCCGAGACTCCGTCTGAATTCGAGCTCATCGCAGTTGACTGGTCAGATGCAAATATATCATAATGGAATATTTAAACGAAAATATAGACGATCGGTCGAATTCGAGAAGTCAACCGGTACAATATGTAGACTTATCGGTCAGAGTACATGACTTCATGCTGACGGTCTTCTGTCCCTTTAAAACGCATGATCGGTGGGTGAATCTACGTACTGGGTAGGTTGCTATGGTGTGAAACTGCCGGCACGAATAGCTCTAAAGGTGGTTGGAGGGTAGTGACCGATTTTAACAAAAGATTATGAGAATATTCCTACATCCTCAGCTGGGCACTACGCGCCAAAGAAGGTTTTATCAGCACAAGACGACAAGGGAGTATGACAAATCACTGTGAGACAATGAAATCAGCTCGCTCCGTCTGGGAACGTGAGTTAATGCGGATACGCGGCGCTCTGTCGCCCGCCCTGTCTTCCTATAAATCTCTTTGTAGCTCTAAATGAAGGGTTCCAATTCTAAAACATAATTTGCAATACCCCCTACACTCTTCCTACACTCAAGAACAATTGAACTACAAGTGTTTCCACTTACAGTCATTCTGGTCATTCTCAGAGATGGCAACGGGTCGGGTTCGGGTCGGATACTATTATACTTGAATCCGACCTGACTTTTAAAACTGAAATCCCAACCCGGCCCAAATCCAGACTTTTAAATCCAAAAATCGATCCGACACGAATCCAACATTTAAACCCGAAATCCGATCCCAAAGCTGAACCCGTAATTTAACTAATAATCAATTCGACGTACCCAATAATTTTAAAAATATTAAATCTAATTTTTTTGCGTGTCTCATTTTTCTTATTAAGGAATAATAAAAATATTTATAAAAGGCATACTTGATATTGTAGCACCTTGTCAAGATATTGTAAGAGTGCTCGTTATATCAATAGATAGACTTTTATGTTATAAAATATTCGGGTTTGAGTCGGTTCAGGTGCGAGTTCAGGTTGGGTAGGGTAAAATTATAAACCCGCGCCCGACCCGACCCGATGTCGGGTTCGAGTAAAAATTTTTGGGTCGAGTTCAAATTATTTTATTCTCAATTCAGATTCAGATTTATTAGTGGTTGGTCGGGTCAGTTAAGATCGGGTTCGGATTGAACTGCCGTCCCTAGTCATTCTCGATTTTCTGTATCTTTCGTTCTCTAAGTCCAACCGACTATTCTAGTACCGGTTTTGTACAGTTTGCCCGAGTGGTAAATTTACACTATTACCATCCTTCTCTCATATTTCTAAGTTCTAACACCATGTTTCTCTCTTTATCTTTTATTACACCACTTAATTTTTTTTTTAAGACTTTCCCTCCTCTTTTTTTAATGGCGAGCCTTACATGTTATATACGAGTATATTTTATCCACACAATATTTAAATAGTATACTCTAATTTAATATAAACTATTTCTTAAGAATACTTTAAGTTTACAAAATCATGTATTCTTACATAGTGATCGAGTTTTAAGAAAAACACATTAATATTCTACATTTTCTTTTACATTCATTCTAAAAAATATTTTTCTTCCCACATTTAGAAAGAAACTTATGGTATACTCTGTATTTTATTCATGATTGATATTTTATTTTCATTTCAACTCTTATTTTTGAATAAAGACATAGAACTTATATTTTTATACATTATTTTATGTTTTACTCATACTCTAATCTCTTTCTCTAAGCTATTTTGATTTCCAATTTTTTTATAAATTAGAAAAATTAAAAAGCAAAATTAAATTTAGAAATAAAAAAATGAGAAACAATTGAGTAATAAAGAGAAAGGTTAGGGGTTTTATATAAATTTAGATTAATAAAACTTTCTATGTAACAAATTTATCCATAAATTTTTATTATATTTTAAAATAGTGATGTTTTCTTATTTTATCATGTAGATAAATATACAAAAAAACTGTTTTATTCATATTAAAAATTGAAAAAAAGAAATTATAATGCGTGTGAATCGTAAAAATAGTAAGATGAAAAAATGAAATAATATATAAAATATAGTTTTGAACATGGTAGTTGTAATAATAATAATAATCATATTAACAATATATCATTTTCAGAGTAATTAATTGAAAAGTAGAAAAAATTTAAATAAAATGAGAATATTTAAAGGAAACTAAATGAAATTTGAAGAAACTAAAAAAATCAAAATAAACTAGAAAAACTAAAAATTAAAAGTTTGCTCAAATTCAAAGCGAATTCAACTATGGGCCTCAAATTCGGGTCGTAAGGAGTCCACTCATTTCGGGTTTGGGCACTATTGCCACCCGCCCATTAATTTTACAAGCCCCAAATCCAAATCCAAATCCAAATCCAAATCCAATTTCTCCATATTTGCTTAACCAGCTAACCCCTAAAATTTCACCGTCATAATTTACCAAGACCGTAACTTGCAACTCTATATACGAAGTACAGCTAGGGACGCTCGGAAGTCCACCGCCGGCACCAAAGGCAGCAGCACGCCGGCAAGTAATTCGCCGCCTTCCGAATCCACCTTCTCCGTGAGCGGCTTAACAGGTACGCAGTAGCTTCGGCATGCTCTTCTCCTGTTACCAATGTTTAGCTTTTTAGCAGTATCTGTTTTCTATGTAGTGAATTTAATGAAATTGGAATGAGAAGACGTAGTCTTAAGCTATAGAATTCTCCTTCTCCAGATCAGTTACACACGTTCATCTCTCAGGCATCTCCTGGCTATCTTATAATGGGGGCTGAGGATCATAAAGCTTGCATCACACGTTTCTTCAAGATAATCCTTAGCTGGGATTACTATCTCCTTAAATACTCCAAAGTAAGTAAAACCACTGAATTTTAATAAAAATTAATGTTTGAATGAGAGGAATTCGCTTAATTTTGATTTGTTCATTAAATTGATGTTAGGAAACGAGCTGCGACCAAAATGACGAGGGGAAAGCTACAGGCCTTAGAAAAGTGAAGCAAACTTACAATGACGTTGACGACTATATTTCTACTTTTGAGCCTCTTATATTTGAAGAAGCTAAAGCTCAGATTACTAGAGATAAAAGTGATGATGACGATGAAGGAGGTATTATATCTAGATGCAGGCTTCACGTTTGTGATTACTTTTAGCATTTTGGACAATTTTTAATGGTGTTTTGAAAATGTCAATGCTAAAATAAGATTTTGGAAATGCCGAAGCCAAACTTGTACTTTTCAATTTCTCCGCAAGCAGAATACATTTATCATTTGGATTTTTTTGTTGTGAATTTCTTAGGAATTTGACACACAAGAGCAACAACAGACCTAGTAAAATTCAACAAACGGGAATTATAAATAAAAGCTAAAGATAGAGCTATTTAAATTCTTGACTAAATTTGTCTATGACGTTGCTTAATGTGGCTAAAAGTTTCGATTGTAACAGATGTATTTTTTGTGCTTTCTTAATAAAGATTTCAAATAGTGGAGATATTCTTTGCTCATCTTTAAAGAGAGTAAATTTTAGTCATTTTATTTATAAAAGAATGTTGCCCCTCTCGATGGTTGCTTACAGTTAATTGATTTTATTCCTATTTTATTATGGATTATGGATTGCTTGCTTATGATTACCAACAGACTATGCATTACTAAATGTGGCTTTTCTCATGTTGTCATTGTTTACCAACATCAATGGCACACTAGTAAACAGTTACTCCCTCGGTTCCAATTTATCTTGCCTATTTGACTCTTTGTTGTCCTTAATGTAACAGTGTAGCCATTAATAAAATTATTGATTTTCCCGATAGCTCTAAACTACATTTTAAAATGATTCTAATGATATTTACTTCACATCATAATTAACTGTACTTTATCTATAAAATTTGGTCATTTTGTGAACTTCAAATAAGAAAAGTCAACCATAGAAAAAATTGGGACGTGTAAATAAGAATACATGTTTGTCTATCTAATTGTTGTTCTTTCCCTTTTATTACTGTACACATCAGAAAGCAGTATGTTGAGCAAGAGTCTGAGCGTAAATCTCTTAGGAACATTGTGTTTATGCATATAATGCATCACAATTTGAAGTCCCGACCCCTAAAGTTAGAATTACGTCTCAGTTTCTCTAAGTTTTCATTGGACATCATTGTTGTGCATCTAAATGCCTAAGGGAAATGAAGCTCCATGAGTTTATTTTTTGTAATTTTTTGGGCATTAAAGAAACAGGTTGGATGCTTGGAATGATAATGGAAACAGCTGAACTCGACGGGTTTCACTTGCCAATGATGTTGTGTGAGGAATCAATAAAACAAAATGATCTATTGGTGATTTCAAAACAAAAGGTGTTCATTCATCTTTACTTTTACTTTCTTTTGCATGGTTAGCTTGAAAGCTTTCTTTCATGTAAAGTGTTCAAGTATAATTCCTTTGAAAAATCAAATTGTTCCTGTATAGTTTTTGCTTAGATGATATTTCAACCAACACTTTCTTTTTTCACATTTCTTTTTTTCTTTACTTTGCCTACCATGGTGTTTTGTAGTTTGAAGTGGGTAAAAAACCCAAAAGTTATGCATTTGCATTTGTTGAGCATCGTCAACAAGAGAAAATAAAACTTAGAATGCACTTGAATGGGGAGTACAAGGAGTTGAATACAGACAAGGTTGTGAAATGTTCAAGGCTTATGAGTATGCGACCTCTAATCAGGAAAGAAAACCAACTGTATGTTCTCAAGGTAATTGTTCCAAAACAATGTCAAACCTTATTTTTTATTATCATCTGAATGATTGGCTTACTTATATTCTGCCTACATTTATACCCATTTTATTCATTTATCAAATTTGCCAACATTCACCTCATTGCATTATCAATCTCTGTTTAAAAATTCATTCTCTCTGACAAATACCCAGTAAAGTAGACCACATCAAACTTGAAATGTTGGGATGATGTCAATGAAAATAGGATTTGTTACTGTACTACACTAAAGAAGTTAAAGCATGCATGTTCTTCAGTGTAGGAATGTGGTCAAATAAAACTTATTTTGTTGTTGTTATGGACAATTAATGTGCGGTTTGCATTAAGAAAATGTAACTCATCCGTTCTAAGATGGACTTTTCAATATTCCGAGTGATGAATCCAAGGGAGTCAAAATCGCGAGTTGGAGTGTAAGATCCGATAATTTTGAGGATCTCATAGGGTTTGTGATCTGAATTGCGAGAAAGATTGTGAATTGACACACATCGTTAGGATTGGCGTGGTGGATCATGGGCTCGTCTGGGATCAGCGATCAAACAAGTTTTTCACTTGCAGAAAGTATGTATGTATGTGTATGTGTGTGTAGGTATGTGTGTGTATGTATGTATGTATGTATATATGTATGTATGTATGTGTGTATGGTGTGTATGGTATGTATGTATTGTATGTATTGTATGTTATGTAGCTTCATATGGACAATGTCCATGATGTTATTTATCTTGCATTAGAGAAGAAAAAAGAACAATGTCCACCATGCTAATGTCTTTGTGTGAATGCAAAAAAAGAAAAGAAACAAAAAATTCAAAACTTGAGTGATGTAAAGACTGTAGAATTTACATCAAAAGTTACATCCACGTGTTATTTTAAATCACCGTACGATGGGCGAGGCATGCAACGGCAGCATTGGTGGTGTCTGGGGAGGGTGATGTCAATGCGAGGACTAGGAAGGGCTATGGTGCACGGTGACGCCTTTGAATCGACGGTATCTCGGGAGAAGAAGAGAAATGTGGCGGTAAGAGCAAAGAAGTGGGGGTGGGGGAGGAAGGAGGGGCGGCTGGTGTAGATCTATATCTGGGGTTAGAATTCGGAATTATTTTTAGGTTAGAGTTAAGTTGAAATGTTTAATTTAATAATTAATGTGTATGGATATTCTAGAAAATGAGCACTAATATGACAACATCAATGGAGTCGTTTCGATATTTTATATTTTCTATACTGATTGAATTTGCAGGTATGCAGTTTATCAACTATTGTCCGGGAATATGTTGCTCTGTGGTCTATTAGCTCTCTTCCATTTAAGGATTTAATTTTATCTGCCACTGAAAGCAATTCAAATAAAGGCGATCGAGCATGGAAAATTTCAGAACCTCTTAAGGAATTCATTGAGACAAATCACAATAAATCTCAGCTTGAAGCTATTAATGTAAGTTTCTGAGAATGCCATGGATTTCTTTCCATCATCACTTCTGCGTGTAGCTTTAGCCTTTTTTTTTATTTGCAAGATATGGGACACATATGACACCCGCTTCATTGGTTGAGCTTGTAATTCAAGTTTAATTCTTTTTTAATTCACTTTAACATTTCTGTTGCCTTTGTTGCAGGCGGGTCTTTCACGCAACACCTTTGTGTTAATACAGGTCTTGTTCATCCACTTCGAGTTTTTTTAGTTTAAATTGTTACTTTACACTGATATGTATATGCATATACATACATATATATACATACATATATATATGAATGAATGAGAAATTGTAATGTCACACCAACAGAAATGAGTCCAATTTGTGAAACTAATGGTTTTGGGGTGCTTACGGTGCTCCGTTCATAAAATTGATGGTTTCTTCTCCCCTAAACCCCCACCCCCACCAATTTCACCCCGACCTCACCCCAACCACCATCCCCCCTGGATTGCTGATTTGGGGGCGGGGAGCTGAGGGTTGGGGTGGGGTCGGGGTGAAATTGATGGGGTGAGGGCGTTTAGGGGGTAAGAACCATCACTTTTACGAACGGAGTAGCATAGGTGTTGCAGAACCACTGGTGTCACAATGTTACACCACTTGAAGACACCACTTGAAGTGGTGTAACATTAGAGTCTCTCTCTCTCTCTCTCTATATATATATATATATATATATATATATATAATGCGGTCGTATTCTTCCGATATAAACTTCACATTTATCATATTATTATCTCTTGTAGCTAAAAAATCCAGTACCAAATTACTGCTCAATTCTCATCCATTCATTTCAAACTTTCTTGAAGTCACCTTTTAGTGAATTCTTATTTATTCCCAGTCTTTTTTAACGAAATGCTATTTGTTACTCTCTAATTTATTTGTCAACTGTTCTAACCTCTGCCTTTTGTCTTTTTGTGGTTGAGCGGGGTCTTTTGGGGACAACCTCTCCACCTTTTCTAGGTAGGGGTAAGGTTTGGATACATCCATGCTCAGACCCCATTTGTGGGGTTTTAGTGGGTTGGTTGTTGTCATCCATTTTCAATGCTGATGTTTTTCTGAAGAAAAACAAAAGGATGAAAGAGTTTATATACTTCCCGAAGGACTTCTTTGTAATTTCTGTAGTTGTCTATGCTACAATGGTGCATCATTAGTTTACGTAGAGATAAAATGTACACTTTTCCTTTAAAGCAGCAATAAGGACTTTGGGATTCATTTCAAATTATATTGTATGGTTTATCTTTCTTTGAAGTATTTCTTTTTAGAAGTTGTCAATTGAGAAATACATGAATTTTAATGAGAAAGAATGACTTTAGGGTCCACCAGGAACGGGGAAAACACAAACTATCCTTGGGCTTCTTAGTGCAATTTTGCATGCAACACCAGCTAAAATATTTACAGGCAGGTGAGGATATTTTCATGTGTCATTTTCTCTTATTTAATGAAGTGATGGATTCAGAGTATTCACTTCCCTATTTATTTTAGCAACAACAACATTACCCCAGTGCCTCAAAGACTCCCACCCATTGTGAGGTAAGGGTGGGTCGGATGTGCGCACCCTTGCTACTTCAATTTTGAAAGAAACACAAACAATTTAAAGATTCATTTTGTTTTATTCCGTCATATCCCAAAGGCAAAAATTAGTATTCTCAAATAAACGTAGTTGCATTGTACAATTTTTGTAGAACGTGTTATCTGTTGTATGTTAAGACTTTTTCCCTAATTTTGAATGAGCAGGAGGGAATTTAATACTTCAAAATGCAGACCAGAGTTATCCTTTAAGGACAAGTATGTTTATATATGCTCCTGCCCATCTATGTGTACCTTGTAGCTTTGTACATCTGTTATTGTAGTGAAATGGAGCATGTTCCTAAAGAATAAGATCACAAATTTTTAAAAAATATATAATGCAATCTATACAACTACCACAACCAAGCCTTTTCCCACTAGGTGGGGTTGGCTACATGGATCAAATGACGTTGTTGCGTCCTATCATGTATCATATCTACAACGAGATCAATCGCGTGTTGACCACCCCCTACCACCTTCTCATTAGATGCTCTACTGTTCTTCTCTCTACATGTCCATTTCACCTCAGACGGGCTTCCACCATCTTTTCATGAATAGGGTCTACTAGACCTGACAAAACTGACTCGGACCCGATAACCTGAATCGAATAACCCAGAACCGAATCCAAAATGACCCAAAAATTGAAGGACCCAATTAAATCGAAACATCCAAAATGATCCAAAAAGAATCGAATGCAGTATTTAGACCTAATTCAGATCCAATTCAGATTCGGATCCGATTAAAACCGAACTGATTACACCCAGAACCGATTAGACTCGATATTGATCTGAATGCGATCAGATTCTAGAATCAGTAGGAATCTCCTTGGAGAATTTACAGATTCTATTCAATTTACCTTATAATCTTATTTTTAAATTATCAACTGAATACACAATCTATCTCATTCTATTGTCTGGACTCGAATTACCTCATTCAAAAATAGCTCATTCTAAAATTCAGAACCAACTTTTCCTTGAATTCATGCTTAATGCACCAAAAAAGTGTTGATAATTGTTAAAGAGTATCCCACACCGGAAAAGTGTGAGGTAAAATAATGGGTATATAAGCTCTTGAGTTAAACTAAGTAATCGATTGGATTCAATCTTTTAATGTGGTTCAGCCCAAGTGTCTTATTATCCAATCCAGTTATCTCTACCCATTCCTAAATTCTATCATGATATCGGAGTAGGTTTTGGCCACCTCGTTTGTCAAGGTGTCCGTCTAGACAATCATTTCTAGCGGCCCGTTTGTCTTTAGCCCAGTTGTTCATATGGAGTATGTACTAACACGATTGCTTGTCTGGAAGTTCATACCCAGCACCTCGTGGTCCTTTAGGTGTTGGCACTAAAAAGAAAATCAAGGGGATGAGAGTCCATTTGCAAGTGGTCAACCGGTTAGATTCAAAATGAATTGGTTGTCCACTTGAGGGGGAGTGTTAAAGAGTATTCCACATCAGAAAAGTGTAAGGAAAAATAATGGGTATATAAGCTCTTGAGTTGAACTATGTAATCAATTGGATTTAATTTTTAATGTGGTTCAACCCAAGTGTCTTATTACCCAATCCAATTATCTCTACCCAATCCTAAATTCTATCAATAATGTCTCGGAAACATCTTGAAATTTGAATTTTTTTTAATGGGTTTCTTCTATCCAAATAGGAAATCATGAAAATTGACGTAACATATATCTTTAGATGTTCAAAATAATCAGGCCTCCCCTCCCTATAGCTGGTTGGAGAGGAAGCATATGGATTACTTTTCTTGAATATTGCAAGGGAGTGCTTTTAATACTCTCATTGGGGGAGAATAAGTCACTGCCTTGATAAAATTGTAGCTATGTATTTGGAGCATATCTCATAGATATCTTAGAGATTTGGTTATTCATATTTTCTAAAACTTTAAGATGTATCATTTGTTTCTACTGTAATCGATATTGAATGTAAATTTAGTAAATGAACAGGTACAGTCATTGGCTCAAAGCATCTCCATGGTTAACTGGACTAAATCCTCGTGAACAAGAGATGCCTAGGGATGGCGATGACGGCTTTTTTCCTACACCTGGGAATGAATTGGTATGCTATGTTTAATCTCTATTTTTGTTTGGACTTTTAGGGATCATATTTCACTAACTTTATCCTTTTTAGAGACCAGAAGTAGTCAATTCCACTCGAAAGTATCGCGTTCGCGTTCTTATTTGTGCTCCATCAAATCCTGCTCTTGATGAGATTGTTCTGCGTGTTCTAAATACTGGTAAGCACTCTGAGCAGATTGCTTCACAAATGGGAAGTATTTCTATTATGGGTTTTCTAATTTTGTGTTTTTTTGGGCCAAGCACAAGTTTTAATTCCACCAAAAGAACATATACAAACAGTCACAGGGCAGAAGACTACAAAAGGAAACAAAACACAATCTATCGTTTACTAGTGTAAACAGAGACAAGTTGGCTTATTTTATGTTTTTGTTATTGTCATACCTTCAATAAATCAACAGAGCGGTCAAATTAAAGGCCCACAGGGTTGTGCCTAATTTGCGTCTTGTTGGCTTTCTTCATAGAGATAATCATAAGATCACCATGAACTGCTATTCAAAAAATATAACTGGATGTACCTGTCTGTTGGCAAATCTAAAAACTGCTTACATGGTGTGTGTTTGCCACTTGGTGGCTTCTATTTTTTAGCCTTTCCATTTCTTCTTTAAACATTACCTCAACCTTTTCCATTTGTCAAATTTTGATTTTTTTGGGATGGTATTTACTTGAAGTTAAAAATTCACTTCATCTGCTCCAGTGGGCATGTATTCGGAACTTGATTTGGTTATGAATTCACTCTCACTTCTCCATTTTAAATGGTTCTGTTAGTTCAATCTCATATGCTAAATTCATGTTTGCTGCTTTCAGGTATTAGAGATGAAAATGACCGTGTGTACAATCCAAAAATTGTACGGATTGGTCTGAAGGCTCACCATTCTGTCGAGTCAGTCTCCATGGATAAGCTAGTATACACCTGAAGCTCATTTTTAATATGTTTATAATGTACATTGACAATGGAGCTAAAATAGTCATTTTGAGAATGCTTTAGCTTCAAGTAAATAATGGACTAGATTAAAGTGCCACACTAAAATTCCATTGCATCTTATTTTCATAAAGTTTTGGGAAATAAATGCTTAAGGGTCTTACGGTGACAATCTTTCTGTTTATTGGGGTAATCTTTTGACCCCATAGATGATAGACCCCTACAAGTGTAGGATTATCATGGTTCTTTGTTGCTGTTTTTTTGGGGGCCTGTTTGGAAGTGTAAAAAAGCATGGGAAAGAAATGGAAGAAATATAGATGAAATTTTGAAGGAAAAAGAACGAGTGTGTGTGTGTGGGGAGGGGGGGGGGATGAAACATTGCCTCAAACTCAATAATTTTTTTTATATTTATTTGTTCAAGCTGATTTTATTTATGTAAACCTTTACTATTTTTTATAATATAATAAACAATCTAAACATGTAAATATTTTAAAAACATTAGTTTTATTTCTATTTTATTCACTTATTCGAGGTAAAACAAAACTTCAGAAAAGAACAGACCCCTAGACCCCACAATTACTGCTTTAATGTTCATCTAACATTTGTGTGCAGATGGATCATACTGGTGGTAAAGAAAACCAAGGGGAAACAAGGGATAGAGATAGTATTCGTGCTTCTATTTTGAGTGAAGCTGTAATTGTACGTCTCTTTTACCCTTCTTTAAGATGAAAATGATGCCAGCTAGTGATTAATTTATAGAGTTAGTACCTGATTTGCTGAATATGGTCTTCAAATTTCATTTTGGCTTAATAATGTTCTCGAGTCCTCAAGCATATTTTGCTCAATCTACGGTGCTTTTGTAATTTTGACTTGACTTGCTTTTAAGCTAGAGAGAGTGCTAGACTTGAAAATACTCAGCTTTGAACAAGTCAACAAGGACTTTGTACCTGGAATGTAGTGCAAAATAACAAGTGGGGTTTGGGGAGTGTAGGATTTACTTACCTCTATCTGTAGAGTTTAAAGTTGCTTCCAGAAATAACCTGCTAAAATTTGTGAAACATGACAAAATCTGAACTCGTCCTCTCAAATGTGTTTTCCTATTTTTCTATGAGATATAAATGGACGTGCACAGGTACAGACACACAATAGAAGTATTCCCTCCGACCCAAAATGAGGTTTACACTTTCTTTTTTGGGATATTTCAGATTAAAATTTACACTTTTCTGTTAAGGAAATAAATACGTGACTCATGGTATTTCTCTCTTCTAAACAATTTTCAATGACACTTGTACTTTTCAGTACCTTTTTGACACTCCATGAAGTCAACTCTATACCTGGTTCGGGGATGGAAGGAGTACTGTTTATCTATGTTAATTAGTCAACTCTAAAGCTGAGGAGTACGGAAGGAGTACTGTTAATCATGTACTCCCTTTGACCCAAATTAATTTGCTCACGTCACGGAAATTAAGAAAAGTGTTTTAAAAATCCAGAAAAGACGTTGAATACTGAAAAGTGAGTGGTTACATTCTGTTTTGAAGAGAGAAGTTTTTTGGACCACATATTTTTAGAGAAAAAAAGTAAGAAAATATTTTGGGACAGATGAAAAAGGGAAGTGGAAAAACCTTTGGAGGGAGGGAGTGCTATGTTGTATCTTTGATTAATATACTTGAAAGGTTATCACATATATTGTGTGAAACACAACTACTTCGTATCAGTTACATTTATGGCCTGCTGGGGAACTTAAATTTAGATTTCAATTTCAGATTTGACCCAATTTACATGTTTTGTCAAAATTCCTCTTATTCCCAATAAAGTCCAATTACAAATTCATACACCCCCTTGTAATTTGAATTTCTGGCCCCAAATTTTAGAATTGATATCCAAGAATTCAAATGAATTCCTAGTTTCCAAACACTACGTTCCAAAATAAACCTAACCTTGTAGGTCCAACCTTGAACTTGACTTATTTGACAACTCTTTGTTTGATGATTAAATTTGTTCCGGAGTTCATGTTCAGGGTTGAATTGAGTCCAATAAAAAGTTGAGGACAAACTTGTGTTGTAGAGGGACTAAACTTTGCATTATTTCTAAATATTATTCACAGGTCTTTTCTACTCTAAGCTTCAGTGGTTCACCTGTCTTTAGTAAATTGAATCATGGTTTTGATGTTGTCATAATTGATGAAGCTGCTCAAGCTGTAAGTTGTTACATCCTTTATGATAGTGTGAGCTCTTGTTTATGGTTTCTATTGTCTGGTAGCACATTATTGTTTTTTGCCATGTGTTGCAACAGGTAGAACCATCAACTCTAATTCCATTGTCCAATGGATGCAAACAAGTATTTCTTGTATGTATCTAAATCCAAACACGTGAAGTTTTCTATGTCCTGCCCTTGGTTTCTCTTTTTGTTCTTGTTCTGTATCCTATCACATGTAGTGTTATTTTACAAATGCGAGATCTTGACAGTAGTCTACAATTTTGTCTTATTGTTGTATATATTCAACTGTGAAGATGAAACTTCAATTCTAAGTTATTCTTTTGGGCAATTCTTCCTATTGTGGCCTCATGGTATTTCATAAAGTATTGTCTAGTTTTTTATTACTCCCTCCGTCCTATATTGATCTTCCCACTTTGACCGGAGTTCATTTATAAGGTTGTGTAAAAAATGCTTTGACCTTCCAAAAATACCCCTAATCCTAATGCCCTGCAACACTCATTTTCTCATCTCTGCCTCAACCGGATCATTGCCAAGGAGATGTAGGAATAAATTTTCACAAAAATAAAATACAGATCTACAAAAATCATCATGTACATCCGCCGAATCCATCTGCACCACCTCGATTTGGATCTGTCGTTGAACCCATCTGCACCATCACTTTAGATACACGTTCAATCTCATTCAATCTTCTGTTGAATCCACAAAAACCATTAGATCCACCATTGATTTCGTCAGATCCACCTCCAATTATTGCGTCAATTGAATTGCAACATCTCGAGAAGCAAGGAGAAGATAGAAAAGAAGGGGAAAAAGAAGAAAGACAAGAAAGAGAAAATCCAACGATGAAAAGATACAGAGAAAGGAGAACGGCGAAGGAGAAGAAAGGGAAGAAAGGGAGAAAAGAATAAAAAAAGAAAGGAAAAATGAGAAGAGAGAGAAGGGAGAATGGAGAAAGAGAAGAAGGGGAGAAAAAGATCGAAGTGGGAACTGGGAAGGGGAGATACGGTGGGGAAGGGAGAAAGGGAGAAAAAGATAGAAGTGGAAAGAAAGGGAGAACTTGAGGGTATTAAAGTCATTTGGTTACCTTTTTTTAGAAGTGGGAAGATAGTTTTAGGACAGAGAAAAAAAGGAAGTGGGAAGATAGTTTTAGGACGGAGGGAGTATTAGTTATAACCAATAACTAACACTTTCTCTTTTAAGTTAACTTGAAAACTAATAACATTCAGACTGAAGTGCTATAACTTGAGAAAACATTCTTTTAGTTAAGGAGGATAATTAACATGTTCAGTGCTGACTGTTAATATTTTGTGCCTCATTACAAGTTTGGAAGATTGTTCATTGAACAAAAATTACACTCAATTCTAAACCACAAAGATAAAGGGAGTGAGGGAACAATGATAAGAGGTTAGGAGAGCATTTTGTATACTGTGATAGAAATATTTGAAATGCTTAATCATTTTATTCTTCATCCCCCCTCCCCCCACAGGTTGGTGATCCAGTTCAATTGCCAGCAACAGTAACCTCTGATGTTGCTAAGAAGTTTGGGTAAAGTGACTTTTAAAGTTCTGTTTCTGAAACACATGGGTGGGAATGCAAGAGGCTGGATATGAACCTATGTCCATTGCCTGGAAAAGAGGAGTAACTTGCCCCAAGTTACCCCCAAACTACTGGGTATAGTGGCTTGGCTATATTGTTTGTCAAATTTTATTCATGAATGCTTATCATTTTATTGCCTCTATTGATAGATATGAGACAAGCTTGTTTAAAAGACTACAGATGGCTGGTTATCCCGTCCAGATGCTGAAGACACAGTATCGCATGCATCCAGAGGTTTGGAGTTTGATTATGCGATTGTGTAATTGTGTTACTTATAGCTTTCTAAAATCAACTGTTTTAGAAGTTTCTTTAGAGTACAAAGGCACCCACATCCAGGCAGCCGGTCGCCTGTGATACAGTGATGCTTTAAGAAACATTTGTAATATTCCCACGTTCAAAAAAGAGTCATTGAGTAAGGTACAACTTCTCATTTTTAGTGTATTTTGATCAAGAGACAAGTGTTTTCAAGTAATGAATGATGAATTATACCTCTGAAATTTATTTCTAAGATTGTTTGGAGTAATAAATTACTCAAATCACTTGCCACTTGGCTTTAGAGGAACTTAAATGTTAAAAATAGCTTTTGAGCTTTAGATTCTTTTCTAAGAGAAAAAGTTCTTGAAACATCACAGTTTATTTTATTTTTATTTTATGGGACAAGGGAGTACCGTTTGGCCTTTCAATGGAAAAGTAGTACTCCCCAGTGACAAAAAAGAGTCGCATACAAGTTACATATGATAGTTTTAGTTAAATCCAGTTATATCTTTGTTCTTAGATCATAATTTGTGGGACCTTACAGGGTTGTTATTATGATTTGTTATTGTTAATAAGTTATATACTTACAGAGTATATCTTAATGTAAAAAGTTGTACCTTGGTCAAACATAACTCTTTTGGGACAGGGTGAATACAAATCTTACTAAAAGGTATTGCCGTCTCACCTTGAGACAGTCCTTGGGTAGTTTTATCCAATCCGAGCATATTATCTATGATTGTCTCTTACTTGTATCCAATTGAATAATAATGAAGATTAGGAGCTTTCCTTCAAGAGAATTTTATGACGATGCATTAGAAGATGGAGCTGATATTGAAGTGCAAACAAAGCGTGCATGGCATAAATATCGCTGCTTTGGACCCTTCTGTTTCTTTGACATACACGAGGGCAAAGAATCTAAGTCCACGGGAAGTGGCTCTTCGATGAACGTTGATGAGGTGGAGTTTGTACTTGTCATATATCGTAAATTGGTGGCTAGATATCAGGAGCTTAAGTCAAGTTCCAAGTTTGCAATTATATCCCCATATAGATCTCAAGTGAATCTAATAAAACAAAAGTTTAAGGAAATGTTTGGCGTGGATTCAGAACATTTTGTCGATGTGAATTCAGTTGATGGATTCCAGGTATCATGTCCATTTCTCCCTCAAAAAACAATGTTTGGATGTTTCATTATTTGTTTAAAGCTTTGACATATAATTTACATTCAGATGTGTGATCTTTAGAAGAAATGGTTGGTCTGGCACAAGTGGGAAAATCTTTCCCCTTGACCCTTGTGTTATGAAGGCCCTATGTTACTTAGGAACCATTCCCTTGCAAGATTCAAGGGAAATGTCTTTTAAAATAGTAGTTGTTTTACCCCCTTTGTACTAATTCAATTTTCCCTATTTGACTTCGCACGAAGTTTAAGAAAATAGAGTTGTGGTTTAGATTTTATATTTCAAAAGAAAATATCAATATCAACCAAACAATTTTTTCCAAAAGAAAAGGAATTATGAAGATAATTTAGGGACACACTATAAAGAAAAGAGTATGTCCGTTGCCCAAAGCGAAAAGTGTCATTATTGGAAATAGTTTTTCCATGCATAGCTGGGGTCTATTGGAAACAAGCTCTCTAGTTTCGAGTAGGGGCATGGTCTATGTACACACACCCCTCCCCAGACTACTCTTAGGATCCAACTGGGTTGTTTTTGGTGTTGTTTTTTCAGGCATATAATGGACTATATCAAAATGACACATTAAACTTCATATGTGTCTTACTCCGATGATGCCTTGAGTAGTATCTGTAGCAATGCATCAAAGGTCTAACAAGAATCATCCCTCTTTTTAAAGCGGTTGACCCCTAGACTCCATTTGATTTGAGATTACATTGGTTTTTTTTGGTTGTTGGACAAAAAGAAAAGGGGGACATTAAAAAGAGATGAGGGAGTATTATTTGATTTATTTTTCAAATGAGCTGACAAGATTATTAGGTCTCTTAAGTCTTAACTAGGTTATCTTCCTTCTCTTGATTTCTTGTCCAGTAGTTGCCTTTTTAGGGAAGGGCATGGGTCAGAACGGTCCGGGTTTGTAGTCGTCCCGATCTCAATCCCGTTTCATACAAATGGGTTGGAACGGTTCTGTACACGACATTCTCCTACTTTGTACCTTTTTTTCAATCATCTCCGATGGAGCCAAAATTTCACCATTTTTTGGCTTTGGGGTGTGATGGAATAAATCAAAATGGATCTCTAAACTGTCTGTGCTTCTTTAATTAATGAAGTAGCAGTTAGTCAAGCAATGCAACTTTCGCCGTTGAGCCGGGGGTCTCTTTGGAAACAGTCTCTCTACTTTCGAGTAGGGGTAAGGTCTGCGTACACACACCCTCCCCAGACCCTACTCTTGTGGGATTTTACTGGGTTGTTGTTGTTTGTATTTTGGGATCAGGAAAATTCAGAAAGGTTCATGATAGCCTAATTCAAACTTTTTATAAAATGTAATATAAATATTTGCAATATGCAGTTAGGGGCACACTAAGCTTACATTTTTCTAGGGTAAAGTTGTAAAGTTTATCAGATACAGTTTTCATCTTAATATTCCTGTGAAATAATCAGTGGGACTCATAAATTGATGATGGATGGAGTATTTGTTTGAAATTGGGTGATGTAGATTATTTTGGAATGTTTCTTGCAGGGGCGTGAAAAAGATGTTGTTATCTTCTCATGTGTCCGAGCAAGCGAAAGTGGAGGTATTGGATTTGTGCAGGATTTCCGGCGTATGAACGTTGCTCTCACTAGAGCTCGGTCCTCAGTCCTGGTAAGACTCATTCACGGGGAAAATCTTGATATTCCCTCTATCCCATTATTTTTGGGCCATTAAGGAGTGTAACAAAAATCGAGAAAAGTAGGATTCTATGGTTGATATTGATGGTAAAAAATAAGAGAAAAGAATGAATATGAATAATACAAATATGACTAAATATGGTGTAAGACAAAAAACTGGGATGAACAAAAAAGTAAAACTAGACAAAATAGTAGGACATATGGAGTATTTTTTAGAGCATATGCCCCGCTGTTCCCAAGTTGGCTGTTTTTACTGTTTAGGTTGTAGGCTCTGCATCAACATTAAGGAGAGACAAACATTGGGGAAACCTGATTACAAGCGCGGAGGAGAGAAATGCACTTTTCAAGGTAAAAATATCTCTGTGTTCATTGCTTTCAGTCCACATAATGTTATATGTTGTGTTCCATAATTTGATAATAAACGTAGGGGTTCTTTTGAGACCAGGTTCATCTTAGAGCCCTACCATGGTCCTTCCAAATCTAAAGTGGTTCCTACATTCTCTGCCCCTACCGTACAAACTCACTCCTTAGCCTACCTCTTCCAGCCAACCTTAGCCCCCTAGGCTTTTCCTCCTTCGGGTGATAGTGAGGAGCAGGGGTCGGTTGGGTGGGGGAGTGGAAGTGGGGGTTAGAGGGCAGAAACAACTTTGAGTCAAATGGAACACTGTAGAGCCTCCAACTAGACTAGTGCCATTTTATGATATAGGTGGCCATTGTTTAAAAAACACGACACATAACTAAATGTGACAGTTTTTCTATTGGGCCATTTTTGCTTACCGAATGTGGCACATTGGGTTTATGTGCTTTTTGAACTATTCAATATGACACATTGAGTGCATTTAATAGTTTTTATTTATTTTAAAAAATGCCTTGCAATAAAAGTCAAAGTATAAAAGATAATCAATAATGGGCATGCGGCATGCCCATGACAAGTGATAACTTGAAATTTGAATGTGACGATAAGTATATTAACAAATGTTCCCTCTCTCATAAAAGAGTCATGGCTCAATTAATGTATTATTCCTTACTTCAGTAAGGTATAACTTTTGAAAATATTTAAATATATAAGCCACATATGTAAAATATTTATGTCGATTTGACTAAATTTAACACGCCTCCTAACCAATTTGTTTGAGATGCTTTATTTAATACTTCTCCCGAATGGAAGTGAAATATTGTGAGCAACAAATTCTTTTTTTTTTCTCAAACAAACAAACAAATTCTTTCGTTTGTGAAGAAGTGTGACATTTATTTTTGCATAACCCAAAAATGAAAGTGTTACTCTTATACCTTTATGTTTGTATAGAAGAGTAAAAACATTAAATATGCATCTTTAATAGACAATAAGAAGGAAAAATTCGCGCCAATACCTCCAGATTTGGCCGACAACACAATATAACTCTCAGATTCTCTCTTGCACGTCAATATTTCAAGACATCATCGGATTTCACATCACTACTCCTGGCCACTTCTGACTTACTAATGCAGAAGTATTTTGGATGACATGTCATTTGAAACAATGCGTTAGTGAGATCTAAAGTGTTAGAAATATAGAATTTCATTGGACGTCATTTACATTTTTGTGAATAATGCAATAAAGGTTAATAACTTTTTTTTGAAGATGTACGGTTTCACCACCTTCAATAAGGATTCTTTTGTAATGAATAACTTAATAAAGTTAGTAACTTTTTTGCACCATCTTCAATCAGGTTACTTTTGTCATGTTATTCAAAAAAGTCCAAATGGCCATTTTAATTTCATTACTTCATATGTGTTGTTAAGTCTATTTTTGTATGTCATGTCAACCAACATGATTTCACGTAAATATATAGTAACCGACTGAGCTAATAAGTTCATTCCTTTAGATGTGTTGTCAACTCAATATTTTTGATGCCATGTCAACCAACATAATTTCACGTAATTGTCAGAAATTGACTCAGCTAGACTAAAGTAATGTTGTAAAATCTGATGATCTCTAAGGGTATTGGTCTGCAAAAGAGAATGCCCGAGTAATATTGTATAAATTGTCAAATCTCAGAGTATTCGTGTGATGTTTTCCCTAATTCAAAGCCACAAATGTTTGAAAAGGATTCACATTGGCTCGATTGGGTAAATATAGAAGTTTAGGGGCTAAATAAAACAAAACAAAAGATTGGGGACTTAATAGAATAATTGATAGAAGTTTGATAGCATTAAAAAAGTTCATGTTTACCATTCACATTGTTAAATTCTATCCACTTTCTTTTCTTATTTTTCTTATTTATTTTACAAAATATTATTGCATAATGCTGAGTGTTGCATGGTTAAAAAGACCCATGTTTGTCAACTGCATGTTGTAGAAATGTGGATGCTGCGGCGAATGAGTGGACACGCGGGAGATTTGGTAGGATTCAAAATGAGGTTATTCGAGGACCGGTAGGACTGAGACCCATTGATGATAAGCTATGTGAAGCCTTGTTTAGGTGGTTTGAGCATGTGAGGTGGCAGGGCATTGAGACTCCCTTGCAGAGGTGTGAGTTGCTTACGGTGGTGGGCAGAAGTAGGGGAAGGGGTAGACTTAGAATGATTTGGATGGAGGTGATTAGTCAGGATTTAGGACGTCAGGCCTTTTGGGCTTGGTGGTCGTTCTGTGCTTTATTTGCTTAGTGTTTCTACTTGTTGCTTTTTCTTTTCATTCACCTTAGTTTGCTCTTTGCTGCTCTTTTTCGGTGTTCTGTGCTTTATGATCTTTCGGTTCTCAACTTGCTTGCTGTTGTATTACTCAGAGTGGATGTCTCTTTGAAAGTGGGTTTGTTTTTTGATAGAATAATAGTCATGCGTTTTGCGTTTTATATAGTTTTTAAAATTATAAATTTTATCTTTTGATTCCGCACCAATTTCCAACTAGAAAATAATCTCACTTAAACACCGTAAATTGGAACATGAACTTCATTGGGACGGAAGGAGTAAATTAGGATCCCAATTTTGTAACGAGACATTCTCAACTATTTCAGCATATTTTTTTTTGTGTTTTGAAATGTTGTGCCATTCATGTCTTGCTAAACTGTCCTTGCCTATTAGGTCTCCAAGCCCTACGACAACCTTTTCACTGACGAGGAGATGGACTCAAAATGGGCAACAGAAGAAGCACAAAAAATGATGCGCGACGCGCAAGCGAGCAATATGGATACAGATGTGGCTGATGCAGTCGTTGATGATGGCGGTGATGATGTACCCGATATGGATGAGGGCGGCGGCGGCGGCTACGATGAGGATATGGACGGCGGCTTCGACGAGGACTAAAAAGGTACACCCAACTTTTTCTAATCATCCCTTTGTTCACTGGAGATATAGAGTGCAAGGGTTAGTTCTGGACAACAGGGGGTTGTGGTGTCCTCTAAGAAGAGTATACCCGCGCAGGGCGTCAAAAAAAGTTGGGGCTCTCAAAGGAAGGTGTTCGTGGTTATCCACCAGAGTTATTGCTAGACAAAAATTTTGACCAAGTTAGTGTTTAATATTTACTTCCATATTTTTGGCTATTTTTTGGCACAAAAAAAATGTAGGCATATTTTTGTTCTTTAGCTTATCAGTTTTGGTTTAAATTCGCGATTATATGTAAAAATTTGTGTATTAGTTACAAGTACTTCGTATTATAGTACTCTTTCCGTCCTCGAGTGTTTGTCCATTTTTTTTTTGTCAGAATTAGTAAACTTTAACCTCAAGTTAAATAAAAATGATATTAGATATTGATATAAAGTAGTTTTATTAGATTTAGGGGCTGTTTGTTTCAGCCTCTTAATGGTTCAGATGTCTGAATGGTTCAGCACTTAATGATTCAGACTGTTTGTTTCAGCCTCTTAATGGTTCAGATGTCTGAATGGTTAAGAGATTTGCCTCTGAATGGTTAAGTATTATACAGAGTCTGAATGGTTAAGACCTCTTATCTGAATTGATCAGACATTTGCCTCTGAATAGTTAAGCAATATACTAGCTCTTAGTGGTTCAGACCTCTTACTGGTTCAGCACTTAATGGTTCAGACCTCTTACTGGTTCAGCACTTACCCATTCAGAAGTTGCCAAACAGCCCCTTATTATATAAAATATTTTTAAAATATTATTTTACCTAATTAATATACAATTTATATTATTAAAAAAAGGCATGTCTCTACTTGTTCTGAAGGGCTTTTGATGTTGTTTTTTATTTTTTTTTAATTTCACATCAATTCTCATATAAATTAAATTGGAAAAGTTTTATAGTCAAACATTGTAAATTAGACATGCATTTTAAAATGAGTAGGAGGAATGTTATAAGGTGCTTGTATGTGCGGTGAGTTTTTAAAAAAGCAGAGTTTTTGAAAAAGCATATATATTAAATCAGAATAGAAAGTAGTTAATCGGAACCGTACTCTGGGGTTCAAATTTTAGAGGTCTAATTTCAATTTTTTGTACCGTGAGTTTGAAATTTAGGACGGGCTTGGGGTTAGTTATCCTTAGGCTGAGAGCAACTTTACTGTTATAGCCCTACACATTGTGGTTATATGAGTCTTTTTGTACCCTTGTGCCTGAAAATTTACCTGTTCTTTTACTTTCCCCTAATATTTCTGTTAAACATTAGTGTCTAGATACTATAAACAAAAAAAAAAGAAGAAAAAATGTGTCTATGAGTAGTGTTTTGGTGTAACTTTAGAGTTATAACTTTAGAGTTAAAAAAATATTATGAAACCGAGTTTGATACTAAAGTTTAAGATGACATATGTTTTAGATATGCATTGATAGTTATTTAAAATGGTGGGATGCCCACCTCGGGTGCTACAACACCCACACCCTGATCAGACAGGATAGTGATGAGTAAATCATGGTATAAGATTAGTCTGATTCTTGGAGAGGTTTCCTCGTGCTTGGAGCATACAAAAATCGATTACAAACATTTCTTGTTCATAATTGTGATAGAACTTTGGTGTTAAAATAGATTTACTTTTAAAAAGTACTATTTCAGTCCAACTTTTTTTTCTTTTTTGACTTTTTTGGTCATATTATGTACTAATATTCATAATATGAACATGAAATCAAAGGCCACATAAGAATTTACAATCTTTTTGTTAATGATTTTAAACTTTGATTATAAATTATATATGTATCTAAATTTAATATCAATAGATTTATTTGTGACAGCGCACGTGTGAATTTTTCTTTTTTTTTCCGCCCTCATTTTGTCCATTTGTGTGCTGCAATGCTTTTAATTTCTTTGTTGACCACCTTTCTGAGCTTTCTCATTTTCACTTGCAACTAATAACAGTTAACACACTTTCCAGTTTCCACCGTAAAATAATCACTTTCCATCCAGTTGTTTGGACAGCTGAAACCAACTGGCATTTCTGCAATTTTGTTGATATATACTGGAGTAGTAAGCATTTTTGTTCTGTTCTTCTATTTTATTTGAAGACACATGTTTAGCTATAGAACAAATTCTTTTTTGATTTCAAGCCCCACACTAGATCTTGGTATATAGATACCATGGATGAATTATTAAATAAATTAAATTTAATGAAATAAATAAATGAATAAATACTTAAACAAAATTAAATTACCTTTAAAATTAAAGCTGCATTAAAATATTTTATTCACGTCAATCAAACTTAAAATTGTATTGCAAATTGCATCATACAGAATAACAATTACACCAAAAGAAGGGTGGGCACCTTGTGGACAGGCGGGTGACGGACAAGCTGAACAACACCGCATGTCCGACGTGCGCCGGCCACGTTGGCTATGGGCGAGAGAAGGATTTTGCATTGTGGAGAGTCTAAGAGCATCCACAATGTGAGCATCTTTCATTAGATACCTAAGTGTGGGTTCCACTTCAAAGATGTTATTCTAACATCTCCCTCAACATTCCATTCTTTCAATGGTCATCTCATTTGGATGTCTAAATATTTATTTATTTTTTGTTTATTACCATACACATTATTTGCCTGGTAATATATACCATACAAAAATAATGTTTATTACTCCCTCCGTCCCGTTTTAAATCGCCTGTTTTGATTTTTGGACATATTTAAGGAAAAGAAAAAATAGAGTTGATTTTTCGAAATTGTCATTACTTTTTAGGAGGCATGACGATGAATGAGAAGATAAGGTGAAAAAGAGTGACTTACTTTAGGAGTAGTTTAGATATTTTATTTTTAAAAGTTTACGAAAACAACTAACAGACAACTTATTTTAGGACGGAGAAAAAAGGCAAACAGGCAATTTAAAATGGGACAGAGGGAGTACCATACACATTATTTTTCGATTTTGTATAATATGATTTGGAAGATCAATGCATTTATACACCATATTCAAAATTATGAACTAAACATGTTTTGTATGTTTACAAATAATGTGTGAAATACATGATATGCATGTGGAGTACTAAAATCCAAAACTTGATGTGTGCGTGAGTAGCATTTCTCTTTGGTATGTGTTCCAGTCTTAAATTTCTTATTGAGATGCTCTATGCTTGGTTCGAGAAAATTGAAAAAGAAAAAAAAAATCTCGGAGTAAAAAAAAAAGTGTAAGAGAAATTGAGAAATTGAAATGTAGAGAAAACAAAGTTCTCATTTTGGTGAGGACAATCTGAAAATGAACCAAACATAGCATTGATGGAAAAATATGCAGTTGGCATTTTTTCTATTCTTTTTAAGGAAAATACTATTATGATTTCTTTATTGATTATTTGATAAAGTAATTCTTGTTACCTCTTAATTTTTAAAATTTTTTATGTAACACACACACACACATACACACACACTAATACACAAATGAAGGATATCTAAATTTACATGATTTTGTACGTCGTTCAAATCGTATACATTTTAGAACGGAGGGAGATAGTAAGTTCATTTTTTTTGTAAACTTATGTCCAGGCAAGGTACAGATTGTGAGGAGAAAATTATGCATCAGATTGACTTTTAAATGTGTTCTGAAAATATTTTCAAAAGAAAAAAGTGTTCTGAAAATTATATTAATGTGGGAATAAAAAAGACATGGAAAACTGTGCAATTTTATTATTACTCCGTATTATTTTAAAGACAACTGCGAACCTTCTTAATGCGCCGCATTGAACCTTCTTGGAGAAAAAATTTGGATCCATTTGACTGATGTTATTTTAATTTAATTTTTTTAAATATTTATTTTAATTTATTTGATTATAAATATAAAATTAAAAGATAAAAATTAAATATTTTTAAATTACATCAAAAATTCTATTTGTACAGAACAAGAAGTGACATAAATAACTAACGAAAATAAAGAGAGCAATGAACTGGAATAGGCATCATGTAACGGGCAAAGACAAGACATAAAAACAGCAATAAAGTAGTACTCCATATATTCTAGCATTATACAAAAAAAAAATGGTCACCTAATCCTAACGGGTAAAAAATAAGAAGAAAAGGCCAAAAAATGACTTCCAAACAGTTTTTTTAACTTCAAAATACTCCCTCCGTCCCAGAGTATTTGTCCACTTACCTTTTGGCACACCATCCAATGCACTTCTTTAATCCATTTTATCTTGTAATTTGTATATTAAAAAATTATAGAAATTATATATTAATAATCTATATGTTAAGACAAATCAAACAAGATCACACATGACTATATTTTTAGGCTTACACATTGAGAGAATTTGATGAGTCAAAGTGCTTATATGAATAGTTCCAAAAGTCAAAAGTGAACAAAGACAGTGGGACGGAGGTAGTACATTATAATGAGAATTTCAGCAAATTTTGTTTCAAAGGCTTCCTTCTTCCCCTACATTTGACACAAAAAGAACAGAACATATGACAATATGAATAAATATATATATATATTCAACAGATTATTTAAGGGCAGGCTATGGTTGTGTTGCCTTGCCCAAGATCTCGAGCCCCTCTGCCCGACACGTCATGATCTTCCGAAACACGTCCCTCAATTGGCGTTCGAGCGGGCCCAGCTCCGTCCGATAGACCTTACAGACCTTCGAAAGCTTCTCCGCCCTTTCCATGGCTTCTTCTCCACGTTCCCCGGAATCTATCAGCTCCAGGAGCTGATGGACTCCGTTCTCGACTTGCCCCGTTTCCTTCAACGACCCGTTGGCGTTTCTCCGGTCCCGCTTCTTGGACGCGTCCGTTATCCTCGAATGGATCGCCTGGAGCGGGCGGGCCCACGCGAACTGGGCGGGGACGGGGACGTTGACTTGGGCCCCGCCCCGGTCTTGGCACGGGATGGCGGCGACGAGGGCCCACAAGACACACAAGAGCACGTGGCTCATCGTGAACGTGAGCGTCGCGGAGGCGTTGTTCGAGGCGGGGATGGGAAGGTGGAGTAAATTGTTGGCGATGAGTTGGAGTTGCTTGGACGCGGACCACGAAGGAGAGACGCTCCATGACAAGGACCTCGTGTGCCTCGGCGAAGGGGTAGAATGGTCTTTTGCCGCCGCCCTATTATGTTGCCCGAAGGAGCGGTTTCGGCACGAGAAGTCCTTGTCGTCCGCGACCAGCACGAGGGTCAAATCGGTCAACGCCTTCCTAGCGCGACGGAAATGCCCCTCGCCGATCATTCTTCGTTCCTTGGGATCAAACGCCGAAGCCACGATTTCCAAATGCCCTTGCCATACCCTCATCTTTTGGATCCCGTCGCGGGCGGCATTGCAAAGATCCAACACCTTGATGCTCGTGTCGAAATAGTCCGAGAGAATCTTATCGTGTGGCGGTTTCGTGACGGGATCTTTTCCGCCGTTGTTCCAAAGGGTAGTGCGGAAACCATCGTGGCAATCGCTGAACGCGTCCAATAACTTTCTTATCCATGGAATCGAGAGGAACTCTTCATCATTGGCCGTAGAAAGGTCGGAGAACCGGGTCGAAACTAATCTGTGAAAAGACGATAATGACCCTGAGTCTTCAACGGGAGATTCCCGGACTGGTTCTAGCGAATGTACCTGATCTGGCCTGACTGAGAAAATTGCACGGCGGAAGGAACCAAA